CCCGACCCAAGTGTAGGTGTTTCCCCGAGCGTACACACACTCCTATCCCGCGCTGCGGGGATACAAAGACGGCCGGGATCTCCTTTTCTCTCCGACCCTGGGTTTAACATCGTTGTTTTTTTTTATTATGTATTATATTCGACCTGGTTGTGATTCATCCCGTTATCCTGGCTTTTCCATAAGTTTTACTTTGTCTTTTCATGCATATACTTATTACTATTAATTTATTTCCGATATCTTAGGTTAAGGGGTAAGTTTCTTGATCCTAGGAATTCGTATTCCTTGGTGCCTGGATGGTTATATAAGCGGAATATAGTTTACGGTGAATAGCGTTAACATTGATGTTATGTGCGATATTATGTATTGTGATGTCTTTAACTTAACTTGTTTGTCAGGGCTTTACTGACACGAAGTTGCATTCATAGCCCGCAGTCTTTGCCCCACCCTATCTCTGCTCGCCGTTGTTGTTGCCGTCCAGCTGCCGTTAATTCAAGGCCTCATTAATTTCCGTCACTCCTGAGTAGGTGAGGGCGGTTGAACCTTGGAGTCAGTTCTGGTTTTTGTCTGCCTGCTTCTTCTTGTGTCCCCTGACCCCGGGAGTTATTATTCTACTTTATGGCCTGTCGAAGCCCCACTCGCTGTTGCTGGGCTGGTGTTGTTCCCGGCTTTTTGCTTACGTTTGCAGTTCGCCGTGCTCTTGATTTCCTTCCCTCTTCAACCTTATATTGACTATTCGCTCCTGTCTGGGTGCGATTCAATTTTGACTTAGGAAGGTTCTGATTGTCATATGCTTCGGGTCGAATTGTATAGAAAGTATTGAAGTATGGAAATAACATTTCATATTGACTTAATAATGGTGATGGTTCAGTAGGCGTAACTTGTGGCCTGGTTTAATTGGAGTGGGTGTGAATATCAATAACTTTAGCCTACCCTGTTGTTAAATTCCGACTTTAACGTTACTTTAATAGCAATACAGAATAATTGAGCTTTTTGTCTTAACTAGGCGAATGCGAACTTCTGGTGACCCCCGCAGCCTTGTTACTCAGCTGGGTCTTGCCCGCCTTGAGAGATATACAACACTCTTTTAAATCACCTCTCCCCCTGTCCAACCTTCTGCTCTGGGAGTGTTATTCTTGATTCCAGGTCCAAGGCCCCCTCACATTCAGACGCGCAGGGTTGTTTACATCAGCTCCCCCCCCCTGTGCACGTGTTCTAACTAGCTCGGAATCCCTGAACACACAATCAGTGATGATTCCTGGCTTTCTGTGGTTGTGATTTAGACAAAGGCGCCTCTGTTTTCTTTCATTGCCTTTGAGTCGACACTGCCCTATTATTTGCCCATGTGCTGAGGTCATAGAATTCGTTTTGACTTCAGTAATATTAACATTCAGTATTGGATTAGCAAATGGGCAATGGTTCATTGATGTAGCTCGCAGCCTGGTCTCCAATTTGAGCGAGCGCGAGGATCGATAATTTAGCCTACTCTGTTGTTGAATTTCGAATTTTGACGTTACTTTAAAACCATGCAGGATGGTTGGGCTTTTTGCCTTAACTATGTCTGGCTGACACTCCCACTGTCTCTGCCGCCTGCACGGGTGACATGTGCCCGTTCATCAGGCCTTATCTTTCCTTGAAGCAAGGTTGCAAATTCTGCCATCCTAGCCCTCCTCCAGTTCATTACTTAACAACACCTGGTGTTTTGCAGTTTGCTGCGCTTGGTGTGTTTCAATCATTAAAAAAACAAGTAAAAAGATAATATATAAAAATCATCAAATATTATTAATCTCAATTATGGAAGAAGGGTTAGGATACAACAGCGCGCAGCTCATCCGCTGCTGGATGTCTTGTCTGTTCTCAGCGGGTGCTGGTCGATTGTGTGTATTAAACACACGGCGCATTCGATGGCGCTCTCCTCTTCCTCACGGGCGGCCGGTCAGGCTTTCACCTTTGGCGTGCACTGACAGCTTCACACGGGCACCCGCTGAGGCCTCTTCCGCCCTCACTTGAGGGCTGCGCTGGAACCACACCGTCACTTCGTTCTGCGAAAATCGACACCGACCATCGGTGTCGGTGTTTGCTCCCTCGCGACGGCACCGCAAGCTCCGGCTTGCGGTGCCGTCGCGAGAGAACAAGGCTGAAAACCAGCCTCGACCCAGACCGAACTGCGTGATGTGCGTTTGTGCTTAAAACCCAAAAACGTGAAAACCCCCTCCCCTCTCTGCGCATCTCTTGCGAGAGAAAAACAAACAAACAAAACAGATGCCCTCCGCGGCCCCTCCTCGCAGCCTCTCCCCATGGCTGCCCTGACCCCCTACTCCCTGGGTGGTGGTCATCCCGAGGCCAGACCCCTCCATACGGATTTATGGCTGGCCTGTTTTCGTGCTGAACTGCTGGAAGACAAAGGTGGCCGGGGAGGTTTTGGTTTTATGGGATACATATTCTCTTAGTTGCGCGTGGTTGACCTATTTTGACTTTCTATTCTTCTGGATGACCGTTGTTCTAATACTTAATACTTATTATTCGGTTTGTGATTTACCATGGTTATTACCACGTATATTCCTAGGGTTCATTAACGTTTGTTGTCTATCTGTATACAGGGATTGCACTGTTTTACTCGAGTTATATTTTAATGTCCTGAGGTTAAGTGTAACTAAGTTTCCACTTAAGCTTTCTTGACTGCTGGAATTCATATTCTTTAGTTTTTGGTAAGGTCACGTAGATAGAAAGATACAATGCAAAATAATATATATGCGGTGAGTACGAGTAAAATGAGGGAATTACTAATGAAGCCACTATTGTAGGCTGCAGTCTTACCACGTTGGTTTGTTCTTTTTGCTGAGTTTAAACTTTTACCGTTAAGGAAAACCGTTAAAGAAAACGCGAGTTGTAACGTTGTTTTTTCTGCTCTGCACATTATCCGTGCACCTCCAGACGCCTTGGGAATGTCAGGCCATAGACCCCTCGTCAATCTGGAGATTTCCAGATAGTCTCCAACCTTTCTTTGCCCTGAGTTTTGCTGTTTAATGGCATTTTACGACCTCCAGATGCTTGGTGTGGCTTGTGAGGGGTAGAGTTGAGAGTTTTGGGGTTATCTGTTTATATATATATATTTTTTCTATTATTATTAAAAATTATTGGCCGAATTATTCTTAATATGAATTTGGAAAAAGGGGCATAAATACAACAGTAGACCAATCAGTTTCAAAGACAATGTATATATTTATTACTTAACTTTCGTGACTGCAGGAATTAATATTCTTTGGTTCTTTTGGTAAAGTCACGTAGATATAAAAATAATAATAAAAAATAAGTGACTAAAAACAAAAAATCCACAACGTTTCAATCGCAACACAAGCGGTCGTCATCAGGAAAAAGTGGGGTTAGCCTCTAGAGGCGAACTGTTTATAAAGGTTTTGAGATGAGCGTAGCCCAAGTGTGTCAGCAGCATGGGCGGGCAGCTAATGTTAATGTAGGAGAAAACAACTAACCGCCGGTTAGTTGTTTCTTTATAAACAGTTTGCCTTTAGAGGCTAAGTCCTCTTTACCTGATGACGACCACCTGTCTTGCGATCGAAACGTCGTGGTTTATTTCATTTTATATTCTTTTATATATTTTTTCACTTCATTTTTTAATTATTATTTTTCTATCTACGTGACTTTACCAAAAGAACTAAAAAATAAAATGGATATATTATCAGAGCATGTTTGTTTGCATGTTCACCACGTGTGGTTAATGCAAACTTGATGCATTGCAAAATCTATATCTTTGGTGCCTGACCATCTTAACGCCTTCTGTTTATTGCCAGAAAGGGTAAAACCTATTCTTATTGTTCATACTCCAGTTTACATGCGTCTGCCTATTTTGGGATTAGTTACGTCAAAATGGAGTACCCTGCAACATTTGAATTGACAGAAATATGGTGTTTTAGTGATTTAATTAAGTGTTATACTATTTTACTTTAATATTATACATTCCAGGTGTTTATAGTATATTATTTTGTTTAAATATTTTTTTTGTATTTGAGCGCATGCATATAAATGTGTCGTTAACCCACCATCACCCAACATAGCCAATTTGTAAGGTTTGTCACGTAAACAAAATGTGCCATACTCTCTGGTTCTTTCGGTGAAGTCACGTAGATAGAAAAAATAACAAAAGAAAACACGACGTTTCGGTCGCAACACAAGCGTCCGTCTTCAGGTGAGAAAATGATCTGCTGTTGTGGCTTTAACTAAATGTGCAAATTAGTTACTAATACAGCACACCGGTGTGTTGGAGAGTAAACCCACTGCAACATTTACAACTCCAAAACACCCTGGTATGCGGAACTAGTAACGAATTGGCACGTTTTGTTTACATGACAGACCTTACTAATTGGCTGTGGCGGGTTTAACGACACATTTATATTCACGGAATCTAACAAAAAAAAACGTCGAATATGGATATTGGTCACAAAACCTGTGTGTTAAATTAGTATATTATTTTGAAAATAAAAATAAGTGAGTTTTGAGCTTCTGATTAATAAGCTAATGATTACACATATTATGACATTCTGTGGCTGCTGGACAACGGTGTGTAGACTGTTATTGTGATCTCTATTATAACCGGAACTTAATTAGGTACTCGGGGTAGGCTTGAGCATCGTTGAAGATTACAAACATTGCTGGATTGTTAATGTTATCGGTCACACTGTCGTACAGCATTGCGGAGCTCACGCTCACGTCTATGGGTGGAGGTTCGAGCATGCCAGTCTTCCCCAACGTGTAATTCCCGGACAGGATGCGTGCGCGATAGATGCATTTGATGCCATTGGCATCGGGTGGAGAGTACATTTGTTGAGCAGAATAGGCCGCGCTCACAGCAAAGTAGACTCCTTTCCCATAGACCACAGCTGCAAATACAAAATGAAACAACTGTCATCGAGCCACATACCATCACCTCTGAATTGTGGCGATGCGTCTGTGCTTGAGTGACAGAATGGGACGTCGTACCGTTTCTACCACAATAGCTTCTGTTGAACCCATTCGTGTTGATGCTCTCGCAGGTCTCGAGAGTTGTCCCGTGATACACAGACCTTTCCACCGGTGATTCCTTAAGGGGTCCCTTGTTGGAATTTTCCATCTCCGTCTTTTTTGTTGTGTACACTTTCCAAAGTGTAGGGTTTTGAATGTGGATAATCTGTAAAATAAGAGCAAACGTAGTTACGAGTGGGGACCCTTTTAGATGTAAGTGCTCAAACCCGGGCTATGGATGCTTTATATATTTTCATTGTCGTAGTGCTGTTCGATTTGTGGCGTTGTTCTCTGGTCTAACACCAGTTAGGCCATGAAGGAGGCTGTAGCTCTGGTGTAGGCCAATCAGTTTCAAAGGCAACGCATACATTGTCAAAGCATGCCTCAATAAAGGTTTTTTGGGTTAGATTGCGTGAATGTATGTGTCGTTAACCCACCACCACCCGAAAAAGCCAATTTGTAAGGTTTGTCACGTAAACAAAACATGCCAATAAGTGACTACTTCAGCCCACGGGTGTGTTGGAGAGTAAATCCACAACATTTATAATTTGAGTACGACGTTTCGCTGGTAATTACATCCAGCATCATCAGGCGATTTAACCAATTGTGGCAAAATAAGAGCAAAATGTAATTGTGGATTTACTGTCCAACACACCGGTGGGCTGAAGTAGTCACTTATTGACATGTTTTGTGTACGTGACAAAGCTTACTAATTGGCCGTCTCGGGTGTTGGCTGGTTTAACGACACATTTATATTTCCTAGATCTAACCCAAAAACTTTTATATTTATGGATAATATTCTTGATTTGACTGCAGGAATCCATACTCTTTGGTTCATTCGGTAAAGTCACGTAGATAGAAAAAATAATAGATCACGACGTTTCGATTGCAACACAAGCAATCGTCATCAGGTGAGACAACTACAGCAAGAAAACTGCTGAAGTAGGATAGAGAGCTGCCGTGACACGCGGTTATTTAGGTATCGGCGGTGGGGGTGGGAGAGAGGGGGCAGGGCAGAAAGTGGGGCTGTGGAGCGGCGTGAGACACTGGGGGAGAGAGATTAGCATATCAATGTGAGAAGGCCCAGCCACCAGAGTTGTGCCAATGACAAACCCCTAAGAGCAAGAGGTACACATGATGAGAGAGAGACACACACAGTCGGAAATAACAGCTGACATAGGCAGGCAGGATAGAAAACATCAGTCAGTTAAGACTTTATTTGTTTAATAACGTCCTTCCAATGATTGCTTAGTTTGTACCCATCTTCTCGGATGAAGTTGTGTCTGTGTTTATATATCTGGATGGCTTGATGAACAAATCTCTGATCGCCGGTGGGTTTGCAGAGTACCTTCGTCTTGGAAAAATTAATTTCGTGTGAGCCCACAGCATTAAAACAATGATCAGCAATGGCAGAGGTATTGGTCCTACAGTGTTTCAGATCTACCTTGTGTTCGCGAACGCGGTCCGAGACATGTCGTTTCGTTTTCCCAATGTAACTGCTGCCGCAGCCACAACTCAGTTTATAGACACCAGGGTGTTGCATGTCAGGAATCACATCCTTTACAGATGGGATCAAATCACGGATTCTGTGTACTGTGTTGAAACCAACCTGGATCTTGTGTTTAAGATTTTGGAAATATTTTTGGTAACCCCTGCTATGTATGGCAAAGTGATGGTTTTGGTTGGATCCTCAGATGGTTGTCTCCGCATGGCTGGGGAGACAGCTTTGCGGATTGTACGGTCAGAATATCCGTTCATCCTGAGGGCTTCGTGTATGTGCTCCAGCTCACTGGCTAGGTGGTGCTGGTCGAAGATGCAATGGGCCTATGGTGTCGTGTTTTGATGAGGGAATTCTTTTGGGCTGGATGGTGGTGGGAGTCAGGCTTTAGATAGGCATCCATGTGGGTGGCTTTCCTGTAGACCAAATGTCCCAACGAGCAATCAGGTCTCTTCTCGATCAAAACATCCAGGAATGGTAGCTTGCCATCCTTTTCCACTTCCATTGTGAATTTGATAGATGAGTGTATGGAATTGATGTGGTTGAGAAATCGGTACAGTGCTGGCAGGCTATGTGGCCAGATGACGAACGTGTCATCTACATATCACTTCCACAAGGAAGGACGTAGAGTGGATGTCTGGATGGCATCCGTCTCAAATTTCTCCATGAAAACATTCGCTACCACTGGCGATAAGAGAGAACCAATTGGGGTACCCTCATTTTGTTTGTGGAATGTACCATTCCAGGTGAAGTAAGTGTTGGTAAGGCAGTGCCTTACCAAAGTTGGTACATCTGGATTCAGTCCTTGTTGGACCAAGTCTTCAATTATTGCAATGGTGTCAGGTACAGGGACCTTGGTGAACAGGGAGACTACATCGAAACTGACAAGCAAATCACCTGAAGACAATGAGATGTCCTTGATTAGAGAAACCAAGTGAGCTGCGTTATGTACAACTGAGGTGGTCTTGCCCGTGAAAGGAAGCAGGGTCTCAGACAGAAATCGGGCCAGTTTGTAGGTGGGTGAGTTAATGGTGGAGACGATAGGACGGAGCAGGGTACCTTCTTTGTGGATTTTTGGAAGGCCATAAAATCTGGGTGGTCTAGCAGCCGAGGGTTTTAGAGAGTGCTGCTTGGTCGGATCGATTAGAGAAGTCGAATTAGTGATGATATTGTTGGTTTTTGTGGCTGGGCGGTTGGTGGGATCTCTCTTGATTTTGGTATAACTGCCATCATTAAGAAGGTCCTGAATTTTGTTGTTGTAAGTGGTTTTATCAATTATGACAGTGGCATTGCTCTTGTCGGCTGAGAGGATGACAATGTCATATCTGTTTTTTTAATTGAGAGAGTTCAAAATGCTCGTCCTTGCTGATGTTGCTAATGGGTTTCTTAGCGTTTTTGATAGCAGCGATTTCAAATCTTGCAACGTCTGCCGGGATGTGTCCCAAACCTTTGAGGGCTGGGATGTGTTTAGGGGTGACTGTGAAATTCAACCCTTTAGCTAGTACCGATTTTAGGCTGTCGGAATTATTTTTTATCCGCAGTCTAGCGCAACCTGTAAATCTGTTATCTCCGTGCATCGTCTCATCTCCCAGCTCCCGCCACCGCTCTTTTGCCACCAGCAGGTGGAGCTAGCGGGTGGGCAAATCTACTCTCCCCCATTACCTCATCTTCATCATCACCATATTCTTGAACCCTCAGTATTGTAGTGCCATTATTAGGCGGTATGGTTATAGTCTTACCTGCAGTAGCGGACATGTATCAACAGAGTTTGAGAAGGAAGGTGTGGCGAGGGGTGGAGAGACTCTGGAACGGGTATAAAAGCCGGACCCCTGAACGGGTCCGGCAGTCATCGTCCACTTGAAGACCTGGAGACCTGAAGAACCGCTCGGAAGACCTGAAGCGAAGAGCCCAAAGGGTAGAACCCGAACCCTTGGCTAGGGTCGGGTTCAGAGCTTATCAGTCTAGGGTAGAGCTATAACCAGAGTGAAGGCACATTAGTCCGGATGGGCTACCTCCTTAGGGTATCGGTTGTCGGGGGCCATTACCCCTTTGTGTTATGTCTCCTTAGTTGTAATGAACGTGTTGCCTCCAGCAAGTCTCGTTCTCCCTGCTTACCTACTGCAGTATTAGAGGTATTTCGCTGCTATACGTTTAGATTATTTGACTGCTGCTATAAATTTCCACGTGGTAAGCCACTTCATTGCACTATCATTTGTGATAGCCAGGTCGCTTATGATAAAACAGCTACATAGGTGGACCTTACCTGCTAAACATTTTTTTAAGTAACATAATTTTTTTGAAATTATGTTATCTGTACGTTTATTGTTTTTATTTTATTTGTGTTTAGTAAAGGAATAGGCAACTTAGACTTTGACTTGAGTCGTGACTTTGAGAGTGGGAAATGCTGGCAGAATTGTTGCTACTCCTGCTCTGCTTCTCTGTTTATCTCGTGTTTATCTGTAATCTATTAATTGTTTTCATGTTTTATTTTGACTTTTAGCTTATTTATACCACTATAGGATACTCAGGGCAGATGTCATGAGCACGGCTGCACGTAGCTGACAGCAGAGCCTCACAGCTCTCCCATTAGAGCAGGGGTCCCCAACTCCCGGGCCGCGGACCGGTTAGGAACCGGGCCGCACAGCTGGAGGTGAGCGGTGAGTCCGTGCGTGGCCCGCCAATTATTTGATTTACCACTTCCGTCCCCGCCTCTTTCCCGCACTGCACACTTGTCTCCGTCACAGCTAACCCTAGCCAAAATGAGTAAATAACAAATGTCGCTGGAGAGCTTCTTTGAAAAGGGGGAAAGACCCAGTAATGAACCCCCCTCCCCCAGTCCGTGAAAAAATTGTCTTCCACGAAACTGGTCCCTGGTGCTAAAAATGTTGGGGACCGCTGCATGAGAGGGACGAGCCACTGACCCCATGACGCGTGGGAGGAAAGGCCCTAAGGGGGACATGATTGGAGGGGGGCGGAGATAGCCCTTCCCTTGTTGCTGCCTCATGCAGCTCACAGATATGTACATGCTTACACTCACAGTACAGTACATCTCAACATTATAAAATCGTGTACTTACATTACAACACACACTATTTGTTTAGGTTTACAGTAATTTGCTCACTTTTACATTACATCAAACACATACATATTTTTCATCATACACTTAGACTGTACATTCAAATACTGTATATATGTTACCACCTATATCACAACATATCGCTTGCATTTACCACATCATTTGTACACTTTATTAAACATACCCACACTTACATTCGCAACTCTACTTGAAACATATACTAACATATATTTACATATAACATATACGTTACAATCATATATACTAATTAACACATCGCTACATTAAAACATACTTATACATATTAATACACACATACTTACATATTCATTGAACACGAAACATATTTGTTCATTAAACCACACTTGTATACATACATTTGCATTAAAATACAAACGTTAGCAAATACATTAAAACACATGCACTTATATATACACATTTATATTCAAGTACACACATTTACATACACATACTGTTCGTGCACAAACCTGGAAACGGGCAAGTACAACAAAAGCTGCTGCCCGCAATGCACAACCTTTCTCCTACAACAACTGCCTCTATCTTGCCATGAGAACTGAAGCGCGACCAATGCAGGGTCGGGCCTACCAGTCTGCCTCCTGCTCCTGTCGTTTGGTCCTGCCTCTGACCTCTGGGTGCCTCTGCTGCAGCCTTGCTGTTGGCTCCTTGGGCCTGTTGGGGCACGGGCCCTCGATCACCTCTGCCTGCGGTGGTCCTCTGTTGTACTGCATCTGCTGTCTTTACTCGTGACCAGCCTGCTGTGGCTTGTACCTGGCCTGCCTCGGCTTGTGACCTGCCCACTTTGGCGTGTGCTTGGTTCACCTTTGTGAATGCGTTCAGGCTGCTGCAGCTTACGTCCAGCTTGCCTTGTCTGTAGCCTAGCTTTCTGGTGCCACGGTGCTGTGTTCTACTCCATTGTATTTCGTCACTTGTGAACAGTCTGCTTTGGCTTCTGCCTGGCCTGCCTCGGCTCGTGACTTGCCGACTGTGGTGATGCCATTTTGTGACGTCACAGTCCTGTCATTAATAATCATGTCGGGTGACGTCACTCCACATGGAGCCCCCCCCCCCATTAATAATCATGAGTGGGTGACGTCACTCCACATGGGGGTAGGGGGGCACCTCCTCCCCCCTCCTCAGTGTCAACTTATAACCCTCACTACAAAGGCAGAACCCTCACATCACGCCATCTCCGTAACGCTTTTGAGACATACAAGTAAAAAGGACATCATGATGAATAAGGGATTATAACGTGTAAATGAAATAAGTCTGTGTCACCGTGGCCTTACAAATTGCACACGAATGGATGCAATGAAAATGACGTCGCGGTCTGCTTTTCGCTTGCAAGTTTCAGATTTACTGCAATACACCCATCTTTGGACGGGCTATAGGCTCGTCACCATTTACACGCACATTTTAAATCCTAAATGCGCGTAAATGAAGTTTTTTCTTGTTCGTTTTACCTCTTCAATTGAATACCCAGACTGTTGGTAAAGTTTCCCCAGGGATTGTTCAAATTCGCGTTTGATTTTCTGAAAGGTTCTCGATCTTCTTTTCAACTCCACAGTGATCACACGGTGGCCCTTGAACTCAGCCTCGTCTGCCCAGTCTGCGGGTATTACATCTAAAAGAGATGTAAACACAACAAACGATTGTGTCCATGCGTCAATATGATTTGGACTTCAGATAAGTAATACAATTTGTATTCCATATGTAGATTATCATTATTTACAGTACAATATTCAATGAGTAAGTCATGTGATGGTTATTTTTACAAGTGATGATCTGTTTTCGAACACAGTATTTTCCAATACAATCACAGTATGTTGCTGACAGTATACATTGTGTAGGCACACATCGCATTTTAATTTGATACGATTTTTAGATTCCAAAGGATTAAAAAACAACACACTGTGACGCAGCCCAAACAATTGGGTCAACTAAATGTTGGTACAGTCCCAACCTGAAGAGGTTACTCAATGGGCAGAAAAAAATGAAGCGGGCAAATTGAAAACAAATTTCTTTAGAACTTCTAATTGTGTTTTGTTTATCCCCCACATCTCCGATTTGCACGGTTGGCTACATACGGTGGGAAATAAAATACAACATACACACGTACAATATGCTTGATATAATGATAATGTCGACGATGACGATCGTGGTGATGATTCTACACCATTAATAATTGTGACAAATAATGCATTTATTGACTTACCCAAGGCTGTTTTCCGTTTAATTTTCAGTGTTGGTCTGTTTTCAACTGATAATTAATTTTTATTGAATTCGACGTATGCCTTCCTGTCATCTATAGAGATAATTTGCTGTTTCTGTAAGTAAGCCTTTTCAATGGCAATATTTTCAGACTTGGTGAATTTTACGTACTCTTCATCGCTATCCAGATATATTCATTTAACAGTCCTTGTCAATGATTATTCCTCCTCAGCTGTCACCTTCCTTAACCTCACATCATTCATTATCTTGTGACTTATGTCTGCGATATTGCCTTGCTTTTTTAACCCACCACTTGCATATATTTTGACGATAACTTGATGTTTGTTTTGCAAAGCGTTCATTTTATCAAATTCTTCCAGGGAGAACTGAATAAGGGGATCTTTAATTTCCCTTTCAATCTCATCGGTGCTCAGTTTCGTTTCAATCATTTCAAATACCCTCTCAATGTTTTCTTCCTTGTGTAATAAAGGACTCTCAGGCGATGTTGGTCTCCGTCTGTCCTTTATTGGGTTCTTGCTTGCACCCCGCGATGTCTCCGGTCGGACCCGCACCTCCTCCGTCGCGTGCCTCCGCACGTCGTTCGGGTCCTCCGCTCTCTCTCTCTCTCTGCAGCCACACTGCGGCCCGTGTGCCCCGCACACTCTGCAACCACCCTGCTGCTCTGTGTGACTCCGCACACTCTGCAGCCACTCTGCTGCTTCGTGTGCTCCGCACACTCTGCTGCTCCGTGTGCTCCCACACACTCTGCAGCCACTCTGCTGCTCCGTGTGCTCCCGCACACTCTGCTGCTCCGTGTGCTCCCGCACACTCTGCAGCCACTCTGCTGCTCCGTGTGCTCCCGCACACTCTGCAGCCACTCTGCTGCTCCGTGTGCTCCGCACACTCTGCTGCTCCGTGTGCTCCCGCACACTCTGCAGCCACTCTGCTGCTCCGTGTGCTCCCGCACACTCTGCTGCTCCGTGTGCTCCCGCACACTCTGCAGCCACTCTGCTGCTCCGTGTGCTCCCGCACACTCTGCAGCCACTCTGCTGCTCCGAGTGCTCCCGCACACTCTGCAGCCACTTCGCTGCTCCACGTACACCAGCTGGCCGACGGTGCCGTGACTCCGACCTCGTGGCAATGGTGCCACTCCTCCGCCAGCATCCCGCGTGGCTTCTCCTATCTTAGCTCTCTCTCGACTCCCGATCCCCTTCCGGTTCTCACCCTATATCCTCCTCCTCACGTGACCCTGACTCCTCCTCCTCACGTGACCCTGTCTCCGCCCCCACTCACCCCGACGACCAGGCTCCACCTCCCCTAATACTCCGGCCCACGTGAGTGGTGCGGAGGCAGCGCCCACCCTGTCCTTGCTCGCATTACACTTGTTTGAAAACACCTGCAACTGGACTGGCTCAATCTCAACAACCTCAAACGAGGGCTGTGTTTGAGCATGCGTTTGACCAGGTATAAATGATGTGATATACTGGAGACCCCCTGTGGGTCAAAATGCGTGGATATTGCACAGCAGAACACAAAATGTGCATTATAAACCAACACACAAACTCCGGTCATCCTCACAGCAGCGGCTTTTGGATTAACCATCAAACAAACATGGTCACCACATCATGCGCTTTCAGATGCACTTCTGAGGCTGTCTGGAACGCTCTACCTTTCGATATGAGAAAACCACCAGAGTCATGCACTTTTAAATCTAGATTTAAAACTCATATCTTTAGAACTTGTTTTTGTGTTAAGTTTGTTGCCCTTCCCCCACACCTCCAATAAGCAAGGTTGGCTATGTACAACGTGAAAAAAGTTCAACATAGACACATACATGCAAAAGTACACACAGCAAAGCAGGCTTTACTGAAAAACTAGCATTGTGTGGTGCCACAGCAACGGAGCAACTCCGCCGGTGCTGCGATCCCCTCACACCCCTCCACATGAACGTACACACACCCCCACTAAACACAAACACGCACCCACGTAGGGTCTCGTGGGGGAGGTCACCTGGTACCATGGGTTTTTACCCGAGGGGCCCCTAGCGGGGATGTCCCATGGTCTCCTAGTGCCAGGAGATTGGCCAACCCCCCCCCAGGCCGAATTGTATTGCGGTCCCCGTGATGACGAAGCTCGCCGGGTAAACCGCAATGAAAACACTTACAGCACAGGGAGATAGGGCCTCGGGGGCAAACACCCAGCGAGCAACGCACGAGAGGCGGTGGGAGGGAAATCTGCGAGGTGAGAAGTAGAGTAAGGGTACACCCAGGGATTGAATAAGGATATGCTAGGCGCTTAATTTTGGAGCTTTCGTGACTGCAGGAAAAAACCAAAGAATAATGCTAGGCGCTGCTCGCTTCAGGCGCGCCATTAATAAAGCACAGAGGATCCGCGTGGTGTGATTTCTGTGTGTGTGGGGAAAGTGTCGGCATAGTGTGTAATTCGAGCGTGTGTGTGAGGCAGCGCGGGTAGTAATTCATTAACTGCGCCCGCTTCCGTGCAGCAGCCGCGCTATTGATAGGGCGAAGGTTGGGTGAGTTAAAACCCGTTCGCCGTCATTGTTTATACGTGCTCCCGTGCATGTTTGCACAGCACGCTTTACGCGGCGCGTTTACACAGTAGAAATAGCCTTAACGGCGAGACGTGCACCCAGGGTCCCGCCGCAGGACCCTTCCTCTTTTTCGTTTACATCAGTGGGGGTAGGGTAGGGGTGCATGTTCATACAGCCCTGTTCCAGTCGTCCCCTTCCCGCGAGCATTAGCATCTGTTTGCACAGCAGAATAAAGCCGACCCAACGGGAGGTGGGGAAGGACGCATGCATATTCATACGGCTATTTTTAGCGCGAGCCGTGGCGAGCGGAGGTGCAGCTCTTCGGGCACGCACGTGCACGCAGCCACCTGCGGACGAGTGGTGGTGTACGTGGGGAATGTGTGTGGGATAACTCCAGGCGGTGGGGAAGCCAGCCACTAGCCATGTCCCACAGAGAGGACGCTGGTGCGGGGAGGCCGATCACCTGATCGGCTGCAGCCAGGTGAAAAGGGGCGGAGGAGGAGGGGGGAGAAGAGGAGGGTGGCGTTAGCCCCCACAATTGTATATTTTCCATTATTTTTCCCAGATTGCGCTATCAGCATCACGTTATGAGGAAAATCATGAATTGGAATCTCTTGCAGAGCAATGCAACCCTTCGTGCTGGAGAAAACGGACTGTATAAAGATATATCAGTGAGCTCCTTCTGAGACACCATCAAGGGCCTTTGTTCTAGACATTCAGCGCAGCACTTTCCCTGCCCACTCTTGCCACGGCAAGTGATGTTTGTCGCATAACAGTCGACCAGATACTTAAAAATTCTCACTGCGAAGCTTTATTTCAATAAAGTGCTAAACAAAATTCAGTTTGATGGGTTTACTTGTTGTGTGCAGTCATTCTACATCGTCTTACTTGTCACGGAATATATTAAGCCTCTCTCCACCGGTGCTGATTTATTACTTCTGCTGAACAACTCTTCGTGAAAATCCTTCAGCATCTCGGCCATGAAGACCACAACCTTCACTTGCAGAGTAGGGCTTCCTCTGCACAGAGAACTCAGCCACCGCATCCAGGATGATAGCAGCAGCATTTCGAGGTGAAAGCCCATGCGCGCCTGTTGATTAAATTATGCATGGAAATCAATTGTACGAGTGAACCGTAATCATAATCAGAAAATGCCCCCTGCTTGATTAATTATAGCCAACACTATATCTTTGCTCCATTTACCATACTACACATGCATACAGGTCGTATCCTTCGATTTAGAAATGTTCTGTTTTACGAAATTTTGCGTTATCGCAATTGACAAGTTACAGACACTTTTCGATGAGAGAAATAAAATTACACTACGGCCACATGCCATGAGATCATCAAACGAGAAACACCGTCCGGGAGTCTGCATAGTCATTCATCAGCCACTGCAGCGTCACAGTGTCCCTGCTGGGTGGGAGTCAGCGTAGTCGGCCATCAGCCACTACATTCACGGTGTCGTCACGGTGTCCCTGCAGTGCAGCAGCAACGCCTTCACATTGCATTTACCAATTAATCTAACATGCAAGATATATTTTCGATTTAAAGCTTTCGTGACTGCAGGGATCCATCTTCTTGGTTCTTTCGGTAAAGTCACATAGAAGGGAAATAATAAAATACTGAGGGCACTGAGTAAAGCAGTGTATAATTCAATGTTGGGTTTGTCTATGGCAGTGTATAGTATTGGGTATATTCGTGTTATGTAAGAAAAAAGTTGATCTGGAGGCATATTATTATTTTTTTGCGACATAGAAGTGTAATGTATGACTTAATGTTAGTAGATCAGCTTATTGGAGAGTATATTGATTACATTGATGTATTTTATATTTTAGTTTTTTTATCGGTTCACTATATGGTAGTAATTATATAGTGTAGCGTATACCCAGTTACTTAAGGTTAATAGCTCCGCTTATTGGAGAGTATATAGAGCGCATTGATTATATTGATGTAGTTTATATTTAGATTTTTCACATAGGTGTATTATATGGTAGTAGGGCATTTTCTTTAGAAACTCCTCCTTTTTTGTTACACACAATGAACGAACTTGATACGTGGTAGTTTGGCTGCTGCAGCTCCTTACGATTAAAATTTCCCTCCCTTTATTACTGCTAATCCTATTCCTCCCGTTATCACTGCTAATCCTACATAATGCACTAGCATAATGACTTTGAGACCCCCCCACCACCTACACATTCCACAAGGAGTGACTAATCCCATATCTGCATTTTCCATCAATATGCTTAATTCCGGTGTTGATATGTAAACTCCTTTGTCAAGGCGCTCTCCTCCCCCCGACCCAGCTTAAATATACACTGCCAAGCTTGGCGGTGTTCATTGGGACGCTGTCTTTCCGACAGCTCTGTTTCTTCGCCTGAGGACGGCTGCTTGTGTTGTGGCCGAAACGTCGTGAGAATGTTTTATTTTATCATGTTTTATTTTTATTATTTCCCTTCTACGTGACTTTACCAAAAGAACCAAGAAGAAGATATCTTTTG